ATAGATAGGGAGGGAGGGAGGGAGGGAGGGAGGGAGGGAGGGAGGGATGGATGGATGGATGGATGGATGGATGGATGGATGGATGGATGGATGGATGGATGGATGGATGGATAGATAGATAGATAGATAGATAGATAGATAGATAGATAGATAGATAGATAGATAGATAGACAGACAGACAGACAGACAGACAGACAGACAGACAGACAGACAGACAGACAGACAGACAGACAGACAGACAGATTGTTAATTTTTCAAGTTATCCAGCTCTCAAGGTTTACATGGCAGCAGCAAGTCTTGTATTTTGAAGTGGAAACCCAGTTTTCAAAAGGAACCTTTCTTACATTCAACCTTTATTTATTCTTTCCTTTATCCTTTATTTATGAAATGGACGTTGGTACGTGATTTATTTCCCCCCTGAGTTTGTGCTTCATTTTGAGGACTCTCAGAAGAAACTGGTCAGTTGGTCTGATGGAGCGAGAGCGGGTGAGGGTGCAGCAGCTCTGAGATGTAGAGAGGGTCAAGTCCATTCAGTGACTTAAAAGCAAAACTTGGGGGTTAACACAGCTAACAATCCATGTTAAGAAAAAAATAATGTTAAGAAAGCAATTAGGACAACATGAGGACACAAACTAAATCAAGGATCTTCCAGTTTGATACTAAAAGTTCTGTAGATGCATCTTCTGCATGCTCACAGTATTTCGGGATGCATTGTGGTCTACCATATTGGGGCCGAGATAGGGTAGAGGCAGGGCAGCCGACTTGGGACCAGAAAGTCACGGTTTGACTCCCAGTCGTTCCCACATGTCGTGGTGTCTCTGACACATAATCCTCTATTGCTCCCTGGATGCAAGCTGCCCCCTGCTCCACCTGGGTGTGATGGGTTAAATGCAGAGAACTGATTGTGTCGTTGTATGGGAACATACGATGACGACAGTCTCAGACTTCCCTTCCCCTTGTGCCTATTTCAAGTTCTTTGGCAACTTCTCCACTTTTATTTTTTGTTTGTGTGAATTTGATAATATCGACCCTGAGGTCAGACATTTTTCAGGTTACAAAGAGTTCTCAGAAAAGCAAAGAAGAACATTACAGATAAAATCTGGATTCCTGAGTGAGAGCTTTCCTGAAACCGTCAGGTGGAAGCTTCAAATGAAACTTTATGTTTAGACCTGAATCACGCCTCTGAGACAGAACAGGAGCGGCTCTGACATAACTTCATGAAATTCCTGGAATGACGAAGACAGACCTGAAAATGTCTCCGACTTTTTTCTCTCTCCACTCAACCAGGTGAACTTCAACATTTATTGCTGAGAAAAAACGGAAATGCTGTGGAAGGAAAGGCGCGCCGAGCCTGTCGGGATATTCCCTGTGGGCCTCGATGACCCTGGCGCTGCTGTCAGCATCAAATCTTGCTGGAGCAAAAAGAAAAAAACGAGTTGATTCAAAAGATACAGATTTTAGAAAGGTTTTAAAAAACTGAACTGTTTTCCAAAACCTTGTATAACTGAAGGCATACTTGAGGGAATGCATATCGCCCGCCGCCAGTTGAGCCAAAGTTTCAAACTATTTTGGTCAAACTTTTAAAATGACTTCATCTCCTGAGATGGAAACAGTTGATTAGGTCACGCCTGAAGAGCTAATTTATCAATTTGTGGCTAAAAATAATTTCAAAGCTTAATTTTATTTCTGAAAACTGAACTATTCCGAGCAGATTTTCTGTGGTCCGCCTGTTATTAAGCTTCTGACGCTTCCTACGTGTCTGGACTGGTCTCTGGTTCCTGCACGGCACAAACGCTGCTGTAAACTTCAGAGCGCCTGATGCCCTGTTTCACAATCGCCTCCCTCAGTGTGTAAGTACAATGTTTCATTATCAGAGACAAGACCGGCCCACTTCCTGTGCAAAAATTCCCTCGAGGCGCTTCATAAATACTGCAGGTCTGCAGAGAGAGAGCCAGAACATCAGAACAACCGATAACCAGCAAACATTCAAACAGCTCCTCACCTCTTCAGCAGGTAAACACTTCGCCAGCTTTTTAACTGGAGCTTGGCTTTGAGGATTTTTAGAAATCTAGAGATGTACTGACTGAGTCATTCAGCAGAAACCGGATTAATAAGTAGTCTTTACAAGTTAGGGCACAACAGGTAGAATCTGGTTTGATCATAAACTGAATGTTTTGTCTTCCTGTAGATCTATTTATCCCGGGGAAAAAATGGAATCCGAAATGTGCAACTTGAGCGAGATGTGGTCTAAGAAGATGCCCAAAGGACTGGGACTGGAGATTTCCCATAAGCCTCCCTCCATGAGGCACGTTGCCAACCTGATCATCGCCATCGAGAGGCTGAAGTCCGGCATACCAGAGATGGTGCTGAGCACCGACTTCAGGGATGAAAACCTGCTCAACATCATGATGGAGAGCATCATAGAAGGTATTCACAGAAAAGACTAAACCAACGTTTTACTCTTTTACAACATGAGATTAAACGTCAGCTGTGGAAGTAAGATAATCCAAACTATAGTAGACTAACAAGAAAAAAATAATAATTTTCTTTTGACATGATGTAAATGCAGAATGCTGACTGGCTGCTGAAACTTACTGAAAATGAAGCAGAACAATAACTAAAAGCTAAAAGAAACAGAACACTACCTAAAACGATACTAGTGAAAAGAATAAAGGAGTAATTTGGTAGATTTAAAGCCAAAAGTAGCAACATAGTAGATAAAAAAGTGGATAACCAAATGTGCCTTGTTTGTTTTCTTTCAGAGAAACTCATTTTGGAGACCTTCGCAGCTCCACCTGACTTCAGGAGAGGTGTGGAGTACGTCTGCAGTGTGGCTGACACCCACCAACGGAGTCTGATTCTAATCCAAGACATCATGGAGCTCCAAGCAGTGATGCTGCCCGGAGGCAATGAAAACCGCAAAAGTAAATGAGTGAGATTTTCACCTGAGATGTTGACACAGCTTTTTTTTTATTCAATCTTTATGTATAAAATAAGTGTGTTGTTGGCATAGAAATGTAAGGATGCATCAGGAGTGATCTGACCTAGATTACTTATGTAGACTGTGAAGATGGTGGGTCCTAAGATTGAGCCTTGTGGTACACCGTTGTTGACAGTTAAATAGTTGGGAAAAGTACCATTATGTTGAACACATTGCTTTCGATCTGAGAGGTAATTAGAAAACCAAACAATAGAGAAACCAAATGTCTGAGAGCTTATTTAGTCAAGCTACATAATTAAAATTCAACACATCGAAACAATGTCCACGTTCAACTTTTGTAATTAGAGTAAAAGTTGAAGTTTTTTTTTTTAAATCTTTGTCTTTTTTAATTTGTGGAACAAAAAAGAATGACACAGGTGCTTTAAACCTTTTGTGTTTTTAAAAGTATCACCAAATAGCTTTTGTCTAAAACGTGTATTTTTGCCTCTCTTCGCAGTTTTCCTGAACATGACGACTTACGCGCGCCCTCCACCCAGCACCCAGGCCCAGCCCGTCACTCTGGGCATCAAAGACACAAACCTTTACCTGACCTGCCGCAAAAAGGATGGCACACCGACTCTGTACCTGGAGGTAAAACTCTGACACTGATCTCACTTAAACTGAGCTCTTTATTTTAAAGGCAATCATTGCAAACTATGAAATCAAATGTTGCCATTGTTTACTTACCTTCAGTCAGATGTTTCTATAGGTTAACAAGAGCATGTGGTAGTTGGCAGCCAATCACAAATTTTTATTTTAAGGATAACTTCTCATTGATATGAGAGCAAAAGTTGTGTGGACTTTCTTTCTTACTTTTGGATTTTTAATTTTTGTAACCACTCGTCATGACTTTGCAATGAGTACCTTTAAATTTAAGATAATAAAAAAGAGAATATTCACAAACTGATCATGTTTTAAAAGGCTTTAATTAAAACTAATCTAATCTACAGTATTTTTGACATGAACAAGAACTCCTATTTTTAGTGTAAAACCTGCTGACACTGATCTTTTTATTCCCCAGGAAGTGAAGAACAAAAGCAGTCTTGAGAAAATCAGCTCAGAAAGTGAGATGCAGCGGTTCCTCTTCTACAAACACGACACGGGACTGAACATCAGCACTCTCATGTCTGCTTACTTCCCCGACTGGTACATCAGCACGTCAACAGCGGACAAGAAGCCAGTGGAAATGTGCCAGGAGTCCGCCACTCGGTACAGAACCTTCAAAATTCAGAGTCAAATTTAAAACCAACTGGTGCTGACCTCCACGTGTGGCTGAAGTTCGAAGAACTCCAAAAAGCTAGTTATTGCTAGGATGGCATGTTCATGTTTTACATTGTATTTCATTACTGTATGTACCAAGTACAGAAAAAATGCTTCATGGTTTGACTTTGTCAAGATTTATCAAATGTTAATACCGCTGTGCTGTCTGGTAAACATTTTATGTATTTATTCTTTTAAATGACTCAGAAGATTGTTGTGAATTTGAAAATATTTATTTAAATATTTAATAATAATAATAATGCATTTTATTTGTACAGCACTTTTCTAAATACTCAAAGACATTGTATGCACAATTTTGACGTGCACTTTTTTGTAGAAAATTTGCTCACCAAAACTATTTAAATAATGTGCAAATATCCTAAATAAAGCATTGAAAATAATTAATTTGGGCGTCTTGTGTACTTTGTCAGGATGTGCCACAACTATCCAGCTGGACGCCTGGCGTCTGAGGGTTCAGTTTACATACAGAGAATAACAAACACATATAGTTAAATACCAGAAACCAGAAATATCCTAGTTACGATGATTCAAAAAGTTTTACACATTTGTACCCTAAACAGAACAAAAGACCGGATATAACATAGATGTTTGTTATTTTTACTGTTATTTCTGAGGAAGGGATTTTTATTCTTTCAATTATTTTACTCTAATACTTTCAGTCACATTTGAGGTTGACATTTTTTTCCAAGTTTGACTATTGATTGCATTCACAGTTCAAATTGTTTGGCAAATATGCAAACTACTGTGCATATTAGAGCCTATTTATTTATTTATTTTCAAAGCAACTTATCGTGGAATCTAGCGAATATTATCATCAATTTGTGACAATTTTAACAAAAATGAATTAAATATGATTTACATTTCACTCAGTTTTGCGTTTTTTATTTTTTTTCAATGATTTTAACTGATAAATTACAAGGTGACGTTTTCATTGAGTGCCTACGTTTTGTTTACATTTTTGCTCCAATCAACGCAAGACTTGTGCGCAAGCGTACTGGTCTTTCCTCTTTTAAAAAAAAAAAAATATTCGAATCGTCCAATCAAAAAAGAGGATTCGCAGCGCACGCTCGTCCCCGGCAGTTTCAAAATGCTGATGCACGAGCTTGGGTGTCATGAAGCTAGTTTAGCATTTTGTTTGCCGCTACAACAAAACTATTTGTTTTTATAACATCTGGATAACTTTGAAAAAAGAAACTGATTTGATAGAAATGGAGGAGGCTGAATCGGCACCGATACTGTCCAGAAAAGGTCAGCGAACTTGTTAATTTGCGTAGAAGCTTTATAAAAGAAGCTACTAAGAAGTCCGTGTTATGCTAATCTGTGTTAGCTATGGCTAGTTAACGTAACGTTAATTTGCACAAACATTACTCTATCTTCTTTTGTAGTAAAATGTTTTAGGGTATTTGGGCTGTTGATTGCACTTTAAAGAAAAGGCTTTAGAGGTTTAACGTTAACAGAAGTTTACTCTCTTCCAAAAAGTGTCCGAATGAACATTAAGCTACTTGTGTTTTGTTGATGTTTTCATTTAGCCCCTCACAATGTAAATTCTGTCTGTTTATGTTCTTCACTTCATAAATGTGTTTTAATTTGCTTTAAAAAAAAAAAAAAGGCTGATTTAAAAAGATAAAATAGACTGTCCAAGTTAAAGGAGTTTGTGAATTTTTACTCAATTTATGTTCTTTTTATTAAACACAGGCATAAAATGTATGGAAACAATTACATAATTGATCGCAATAATTTGAATGGCAAATAAGTATTAGCTATTAGATGAGTTTTTGTATTTGTGACAGCCCAGTTGCCAGATCTCCTAGACCAGTGGTGTCAAACTCACTTAAAGGGAGCCTAAATTAAAACCTTTTTCAAACTAAGGGCCGGTTGCAGAATCTACATTAACTTAAGTTAGATACCCAACATCTTTTCTTGGTTGAAGGTTCCTCAAAAAGAGTGATTGGTCTCATTTCACGTTTTCTGTTGCACTTTTGACATCATAATCAAAGATTACTGAAAAAAATAAAGTGAAAAAAGTACTTTACGTTTAACATATCATCCTGGGGGCCAGATAAGATGTCAACGAGGGCCACATCTGGCCCCCGGGCCTTGAGTGATATGTAATATGTGTCCTAGACCTTTTAGAAAAACACTAATTGCAGACACCAAAGTTCATGCTCAATAATCCAGGTACAAATCCAACAATGTTCAGTCAGGTCATCTGGACGGTTTCTTCTTTTTTTTTTCTGAAACATTTCATCCGAAGGACTTCTTCAGTCTTCAGTCACAAACAAACTGGAGTCCCACAAGCGCCACACTCCCTACCAAAGTAGAGAATATATTCTGAAGAAACTGTAATTCTTTCCTTCTTATTCTGAAGTTAACGCTACATTTGATGATTCTTGTTTTTTTTTTTTCCTTTAATATGTCACCAGTCTGCACGGTATAAATGTTTATACGCAGACACACGTATTGAGTTGTTCAGTTTAGATAGTATGAATCTTTCCTTTTAAATTTACAGTAAAGTATTGAAAGCTCATTCATCCTACCACCACTGAATTCCTGCGTAACTTTCTGTCACAGAGCTGCGTAAACAGAAGCTGATGGAATATTTGGCAGCAAAGGGAAAACTGAAACCACCCGCTGTGACGTAAGAAATCAATCAAATGATCTGTCACCTGTTGATTTTATACCTAAGGCAATTTAAACAATGTTGTTGTTTTTTTCTTTAGGCCATCTCTCCATCAAGACTGTCTGGGTCCAAAACCTAAGTCTTCACTAAAGGTAGCGTGTGTGTGCGTGTGTGTGTGCGTGTGTGTGTGCGTGTGTGCGTGTGTGCGTGGGTGTGTGTGTGTGTGTGTATACATGCCGTGAGTCACTGAGAAGTGTTGATAGTTAAAAAAAATTAAATTTGATCACTGTTTCACACAGTTATTCTCTAGTTTCATACTTATCATGTTTGATTGGATCATTGCAACACCTTCTGTTAAAGATTTGCTGCTGTTTTATTAACTGAAGCTCTTTGTCCTGTTGAGTTATGTCCCAGTTTGGTCCAGGCTTCAACTTCTGGACAGATGACCTCACATTTGACTCTAAAATCCTTTAGTCTACAGAGGGTTCATGGTCAGAGCAATTATTGCAAGCCCATATCACGACCCCTCCACCACTGTGCTCAATATTTAGCATTATGTGTTTGAGCTGATGTGCTGTGCTTGGTTTTTGCTAAACGTTGAACTATGCATGATGGGTAAACGACTTTGGTCTCATCTGCCGAAAGGACATACGTTCTTCTGTTACCTTTGCCCTCTTTTTCCTTTTCGGGTCGCGGGGGTCACTGGTGCCCATATCCAGCCATCACTGTGTGAGAGGTACACCCCGGACAGATCGCAAGTCCATCACAGGGACCCAAAGGACATTGTTTCAGAAATTTTGTGGTTTATTTGGGTGAAATTTTGCAAATGTTTTCAAAAGTTGTGCTGCCATGTTTATTTTAAAGAGGAGGCTTTTTCTAGTGATCCTTAAGCTCATTCTTGTTCTAAATGTCCCGTCATGACCTTCAACCTGCTACAGCATTTAGACCTGTACATTCTGAGATGGAGCACTTAGGTTGTTGCAATTTCTCTGAGTATTTCATCGTCTGACATAATCTGTCTGAATGATGAACTCCAAACATTTTTCATTTTGTTTTTCTTAAATAATAACCTGGTGGAATTTGTTGTGTGTTTTTTTTTTACGCTATGGTTAGATTGGATCATTTCATATATGCTTGGCAAAGGCCAGATTTTTACAGTTTTTATCATTTTTGTTTTTTACAGGTTGCTACTGGAAAAGAAAACAAACCCTCGGCTGACAAAATCAAATATAAAGGCTCAAAAAGTCAACCTTTGACCGCTCCATCCAGTCAAGACCCTCTCAGAAAAACATTTGGTGTCTTTAATACAGTAAATGTAAGAGGCGGCACGCTAAAAGGAAAGGAGAATGCTGTTCGTCCATCTGCTAGCAGTGCCTCAACGCAGCCTCGACGTAATCAACACCCATTACTCACAAAAACGTACACTGTGGTGGCTTCCAAACCCAACGTGACTGCAGCCAGCACCCTGAAAAGCTCAACAAGCACAAGAGGTCAAACTTCAGGCAAAACCTCTTCAAATGCAGCTTATACAGTTGGAGCAAAATCAAATTCCAAATCTAGCCTTAGCTCAATCTGTGCCACAACACAAATGGCTGATAGTCGGGTCAGTATGGGCCCACTTGTCAAAACCAAAACTGGACTCACACCTGCAGTAATCCAGCCGAGGAACACAAAATCAGAGATGTCACATGCCACCGTGCGTAAAACCGTCTATACTGCTTCTGTTGTTGCTAAGAAGGTGCAGTTCAGCAGCAGGTCGTCAGCCTCTGTTCCCCAGAGCTCTACTGGGGAGGTTTCTTTAAATTCGAGAGTTGGAGGTAAAATTCAAGCTCAGAACAAACCTAAACCTCCTCTGGATAAACGTGCTCTGCCAGCTCGTAAGGGTCCGTTTTCAGATGGACTGAGGGTCACCTCTACCTACGTCAAGTGCAACGCACCAACTGTAAAGCCTGAAGGGAAGGCATTAACCAGTAAATCAACTGGTCAGTCTGCAAACAGGTCCGTGAAGGTAACATCTGGCGCTGCTCCCCAAACATCCTCGAGGTCGAACAGATTTAGTTCCACATCTGGCAGCAGGTTTAAACAGGCTGCTGTGACTGAGCTCGCAGGGAAAACCAAGACGAATAAAGAAGCACTTGGCAAGAAAGAGACAAGTTCTGCAAAAATCCTTCCACCACAAGCACCTACAAAGCGTGCATTCGCTCCAGTGATGTCCCAGACTGCACCACAGCCCTCCAGAACCATCAGCATCACAGGCCGGGCCACAGGCATGAAGACACCCAAGGTTACCGCCAAGGTCGTTCCTCAGACTGAGGGAAAGAAGACAACATCTGCCCAGGAGGAAAGACTGTAAGAAGAACGTTTCGTTGTAATTAAACATTACTTATCATTTAGCAGGCTGATGGGTAAACAATGTCTTTAAATTTAACTAACAGGTATTTTGGTATCTGATATCCAGGAAAAAACTTAAGGAATGGCGAGAAACAAAAGGAATTTCTTACAAACGTCCTCCGATGCAGGTGAAAACTCCAGTCAGGTGTACTGTGTCTGTACCCCATCCTTTCTGGGCCTCCATGAAGACAGAAGATGAGGCCCGTTCACTCATCTATGCTGTGGACAAGTCCCTCGCTGACTGCATCAAACTGCTTGCTGAGGTACTTCAACTATAAATGTACCACGCTGGGTGTTTTATTTGGGGGGGGGGGGGGCTTTTAGATCAGTGGCACGCTAATTTGTTTGGAATGGAAAATGTATTTCATATTGGGTTATTGGACTCTGCTGAGTTGGTGAAACCAGTTTCTGACCTCTTGCTTGTTGAAGGAGGTCATAGCTTTGCATTTGTTTAAAAAAGATACATGAAAAACAAATTAGGAGCTTCAGAAAGAGCAACACTTAGTCCTTACAGGTGCATCTCACTAATTAGAATGTTGTTGAAAAGTGCATTTATTTCAAGTTCAAGGTTCTTTATTGTCATTTGCATCACATGTGGTACATGAGGTGGAACGAATCTGTGTACTCAAGGTCCCAGTTACACCCAAAAATAGCTAAAATTTAAAGTATAAAAAGAAACCATATACAAGGATCTAAGATATACGCTAAACAATATGCTAAAAGATCTAAGATGTACGCTAAACACTATTAGTGTAAAATAATTCAGCATATTAAACAGCAGCCCGAGTAATTCGGTAATTTAAATTAAAAAGTTAATCCTTTGAGTATCTGGCCAGTGAAGCCGTCAGGCAGATTAGAGTTGTTGCAGCATCCCAGATATTCTAACTTACTGAGAGGCACCTGTTTGTTGTGGGTGAAGTTCTTCAACTGTTTGACGACGCAGCAAAGTCCTTGTTAAGTTTCCCTTGGTCTTTAATTTCGGTGTTTGTCTCACATCCACAGGGCTGCCCTCCAGACCAGGTGAAACAGATCATCTCTCGGTTGCCACCGGTGTCTCAGAAGTTTGCCAAATACTGGATCTGTAAGGTTCGTGTGATGGAGCAAGAAGGAAACCTGGATGTCCTGCCCATGTTTGAAGAGGCCGTTCGTGTTGTGTTGGAGGTGAAACATTCATTCTGTTCAGAATCTGAAAAGTTTTTTGGTTTGATTTTGTGAAGTTCACAAAGGCACGAGTTGCACTGATCTGCCTGTGGATCTCACAACTCGTTCTTCCCTGAACAAAACCCCGAAACACTCAAACTCCTCCACTTGAGGCAGCGCCACTATCCCAAACCGGACATGGCAGTCTACGTTTTTCTGTCTGAGCACCATGGCCTCAGATTTGTAGACGCTAATCCTCATGCCAGCTGCTTCGTACTTTGATGCGAACCGCTCCAATAAGCTGAAGATCACGTCACAGTGGCACCAACAGGACTCTCACCCTGAAGCGGTCCGACTTACTGCAGGCATTGCAAACCAAACTCTTGCACCATTTGTCTGGGGACTTAATGGGCTGTAGCAACAGACCCCCAATTCCATACTCCTATAGCACCCCCTACTCTCACTACCCATGCAGGTATTAAAGTACCAGTCCAGCATAGCGTTACCAACTGGAACATGTTTCAGCAGACCTGCTAAGGACCCAAAATGCTGGGTTATAGACCCACACTAGCCCGGCGCCTCTCACCAGGATCAGCTCCAGAGTTGAACAAGGTCCAACTCCTTCTTAAGGAAGATGGTTCTGGATTGCATTGAGTTGAGTCCGACTATATCTAGTCAGTATCTCTCAACCTCACGCACAAGCTCAGGCTCCTTCCACACCAGGCAGGTCATTCCATGTCCCAAGCCAGGGTCAGAACACGCCCGCCTTCAGCTGCCTACCATAGCACTTTGCACCTGACCCATATGGACCCGCTTGCAGCTGACGGGCCCAAAGGGAGGCTAATGCGTGTAATTCATTTCGGTTGAACTCGACAGAGCTCCATGGGTAGAGGACCTGTCACCAGGCAGCAGGCGCTCATCAACGAGTCCCTCCCCACAGGCCTGGGTCCAGGGTTAAATTCAACATTAAATATTACAGCCGTGAATCAGTAGAAATGGTTATTCTCTCTAAAATAAAATAACCTTTCACTGCTCTGTTTTTGCAAAGCAAACCATCAGTTGCTGCTGACTGAAACTCCTAAACTGACTCATCCGTGTGAGTTTGTTCGACTTTAGTTACCTGTCAGATTCATGTAAACTGTTGCATGTCTGAAAGAGTCTTAATGTCATTTGGACAAAGATGGAGGGTTTGGTTTATCATCACGAGTCCAATCGTTAAACAGTTTAACAGAAATTCTTTACTCTTAGTTAACAAAGGTGTTTGACGCCTTTATGTTTTAACTACCGGTGTACACATAACTTGACACGGCTCAGTCACTCTTAAATAAACAGCCTCTCAGATGTTATTTCATGGGAACTCTTATCGAGTTGAGTTAAGTTTATTCATGCAAGACGTCAACAACTGAAGGACTCGCTTGGAAACTGAGCAGATATAAATGATAAAAATAGATCAAATCTCAATAAAACGTGCAGGATCACATAAAAAAATGCATACAGAAATAATAAACATGTTCATTGTGTCCTCTAAATAAACATGTAGGTCTAACCAGCAGAAAATTGGCTTTTTAAAACCTGTTGATGTTACAGCAGAGCAAAGTTCAGATCGGAGACTTCCAGAGAAACCACTACAGCATTTTCTGCAAGTTAAAAAAAAAAAAAACATATCTGTGCTAACTTCTTGTTGCTGTCGTTTCTCTCAGCCTGTAGATGAGCTGCGAACAGTGGTGTTTGACATTCTGAAGAAAAGAGACGAGAGCCGAGGTACATGTCATCCAGATGAAGCTGTAAAGAGAGATTTTTAAATTCAACTTTTATATTTGACTCTTGAAGTGGTCAAACCAATGCTATTTTATTTAACTGTTGTTTTATTCAAACAAACTGAGAAACCTGTATAAGTCTATGAATATTTGTATTTATTCATTTATTGTTGGAGGGGATGAAAAACAAGGAGCAACGTCTGAAAAGGCTCCAGATGGTGTTAACGACCCCCTGATGACCCCTAAACCTGTCAGAGCGCTCATTAACGGAGAGAGAGGAGGCTCCTCGGTAATCAAGTACAAGATCACCTTGACTCCTGGGTACGTTTCAGTCTTCATGACTCACTTCAGCGCAGGTTTGTGTGTTCTTGTCCTTTGCGTCATTTATCACCTGACAGGAAGACAACACTTTATATAATTACACGTCTTAGAATGATCAGATCTTGCATTTTCGCGAAATAAAGCGGAATTTGACAGAGCGTGGCGAGTCCACCCGTCATGGCGGTTCTGGCTTTCTACCTGGAAGTTTGACTTTAAATGAAGTTCGACGCAGCGTTCTTCATTATTATGAGCAGAGTGTTCAGTGAGGTGTGGCATGAATGAACGTAGACACACCTGCATGCGCTGAACGCTCCTATAACTACCCGAGCGTTTCATCACAACGCAGTGCAACACGTCTGCAGGCCTGGGCTGACTTGTAGCTCGACCTGGACCAGAATCCAGACTTAAAGGGTCTCTGCTATAAAGTGAAGGGGGTGAGAAAGTGTTTACAGACACTCGTTGGCAGAGGAAGAGGGAAACATCTGACAACTGGTGACAAAACATTTACATGCTTATTTACATATGCATGTGTATATACATGTATATTTATGCTTAGGTGTATACTGGTATGTATGTGTGCATATGTGTGTGTCTGTTGTGTGTATGTGTGTGTGTGATACGACAGCCCCATCTGCTGTTGCTTGTCGTATCTTCAATTAAGTGGGATTTAACAAAGACTCATTTTACCTATGTTGTGTGTGTGTGTGTGTGTGTGTGTGTGTGTATATATATATGTGTGTGTGTGTGTGTAAATTTATATATACACACATATAGGTTAATCATGAATGTATTCCCTACCATCTTGTGCATATTGCCTTTTTCTAAATGTGTATATTTTGCTTCTTTTTTCGATTATTTCGTGGGTTTTTTTCTGTGTATATATATATATATATATATTTATTTTTATTTTTTTTTCATTCAACCTTTTATTCAAGCAGATAAATCACACTGAGCCTCGAAGACTCATTTACAAGTGAGACCAGTTTGGACAGAAAATAAAAAGTGATTAAAATGGCACATGGGGTTTGGAGACAATAAAAAAATCCTAACATGCTCTTAATCTTTAAGATTATATATCATTTTTCAAGGTTCTTTATTTGTCATACACACCACATATAATTATAATAATTACCACATAATAATTATATATAATAATATAATGTATATTATAATATATATAATAAAAATGATATATAATTAGAACATGCTACTGGATGCTGCAATTTTCCCCCCGTGGATTAATAAAGTATCTATCTCTGTCTAAAATGTTACAATCAATAAAGCTGAGCTTCGTTTGTCCCTCAGCGGTCCTCCGACTCAGCAGAGAGTACCAGTACGAGTCAACGGCCAGGAAGTCCGCTTCTTCACTCCAGTTCGACGGTCGGCACGAATCGAACGGGCCTCGCTCCGATACCCGCCGTCCCTCCAGGATCACGACATCTGCGTCGCCTCGTACAGTGACCTCATCGCTGAGGAGGAGAAGGAAGCGAGTGATGAGCGAAAGAGCGGGGAGGACGTCTCGCCCGCTGACGACACGCTGATGTACGTTTACAGAGAGAACGAGGCGCTCGGGGACAAAGTTTCTGTCCGGCTCGTTTGTGATGACAGTATTTAATCTCAATTTCTTCTTCTACTCTGTTATTCTTAACTTACAAAACAACAATAAAGTTTTATGAATTTACATACTTTGGAATTGTCAGGTCTTTAAAAAGAAAATTGATTTTTGGGCTTTTTTTTTTAATTGTTTTAACTTTCTCCATCCTGCTTTATGAAAAGTTATTAGCTGTATTTGTTTGCTGTGTTTTGTTTGAATAGTGCTGTGTAAAAAGTAAAAGTACACCTCTTTTTTTTTTTTTTTCCAACTTATACACGTGCTAATTAATTAATTATTATTTCTCATACAGACACAGCTGTCTATGTACAGTTTTAGATAAGAGGGAGTTCTAACTAAACTACAGAAACCACAGTTTCTAGTCGAACTTGATGTAACAAATAGTTTCATCGTGTTTTGGAACATCCACGTATCGGTTTAAATTGTCCGACATAAAAGCGAACCGTGTTTAAAACTTGCACTCGGCTCTCAGAGAGGATATTTAAAAAGAAATAATTCTGTTATTGTTCTGAAATGTACATAATGATCTGAACATCACGTTTTATTTTCTAATGTTGTGTAATCCCAGTTTAATGATGACACACACACGCACAGACACGAACAACTTTTACTCAAATAAACAGGTATTTTGTGTAACGGAAGCCTTTTGGGGGTATTCTATTCTAGTTTTTGTTCAGTATTGTGACAGGCCACATGTTTGGAGTCTGATCTGCAGCGAGGACTTTCATCCTCCCCACATTAGAATATCTCAACGTGAACTTTCCCTCAAACTTCTGGACGTCTTGTTAAATCTAGGATGGAGCTGTGCGCCCTCCCAGGGTTCAACACTATTTTATTGTTAACTCTGAGTTTCCTGAGTGGCACAAGATGTTTCTTTTTTTTTTTTTTTGAGTTTATTTTAAAGCACTTTGGTCAGCCTTTGTTTTTATGTGCTATAGAAATAAATTGACATCGACGCACCAAGTCAAATCAAGCGCTGTGAGTTTTTACACTTGGTTTAAGACCAGACGGTTTTATTTCTGACATCAAGACAAAGCATCACTTCCTTCACAGGTGAGCATGTTTTCATACCACTGGCAGACATTCAGACTGTTCGTGAATTTCTCTTACCGGAAGTCTTGATGCAACTACACGAGCAATGAAATGATTAGAAAACGTTATCAACCCATATATTATTTGAAACGTGGTCGCTTGTCCTGAGCCTGGTTCTGCTAAAGGTTTCTTCCTCATGGGGGAGTTTTTCCTTTCCACTGTCGCCTTCATGCTCAAGATGAGAGTTCTGTGACGGAGTTAAATTCAAAACGGATAAATAATGTTAAGTTATTATTTTTTATATATGAATGTTTCTGTTCAGTGCCCTCGGATGACTTCAGTTGTGACTCGTAGCTTTAGAAATCAACTGAATTGAAAACAGAACATAGTAAACCAAACGATGAAACTAAGAAATTGCTTTGTGTTTATTTTATATATATTTATTTTTTTTAAATAGACAGTGTAATGTTTATCACCGTGAAGCGTCTACTCTTAACAGTTTGTAGATGTTGAGCAGAGGAGACCCCTGGAGGGAAATTTCTTCTTGACCCAAGCAGGATTCAAGTTGTTCAACTGACCTGGGTCGTCTTCACTGGATGGAAGCAGATGTTCTACAAACCTGTACATCCTGTTCTGCATTGGTGATGCCTTTCCAGATGTGTAAGCTGCCCATACCAGAGGCAGTAATGCACCCCCATACCATCAGAGAGGCAGGCTTTCGGGATGGCTTCTCGTATCAGAGCTTTAACCCAGTATTTGTAGAAAGAATGGTGAACTGTGTTTGCAGACAATGATTTGTGGAATGTACCTGAGCCCGTGCAGTGAAGTCCAGAACAGAACCAAAGGTCACAGGGTGGCAACTGAATGTGTGGACAACAACAGGCAAAGGTAGAGAGCTGGCTGGCATGATGCAGAGAAGGAAGGTAGATGTTTTACGTGTCCAAGAGACCAAGTGGAAGGCCAGCAAGGCTCGCAGGGTTCAAGCTGTTTGACCATGGTGACATGGAGCAGGGGTGGTCCTGAAGGAGGAGTTGGTTGAGAGGACAGAGTGAGATGGAGGAGGATGACTCGCTGTGGCGACCCCTGAAGAGGGAAAAGCTGAAAGAAGAAACAAAGGAAGGAATGTGTCTCACGAACATCACGTTCCTTTATGTTTAACTTATGAAGTCATACAGTACGTTTATTTGTGAACCATTCCATTGTAGATTTGTCTTTATGTTTTGGATCATTGTCTTGTTGGAAGATAAATCTCCGTCCCAGTCTCAGGTCTCTTGCAGACTCAAACAAGTTTTCTTCCAGAATGGTCCTGTATTTGGCCCCATCCATCTTCCCATCACTTCTGACCATCTTCCCTGTCCCTGCTGATGAAAAGCAGGCCCAAACCATGATGCTGCCACCACCATGTTTGACAGTGGGGATGGTGTGTTCAGGGTGATGAGCTGTGCTGCTTTTACACCAAACATATCGTTTTGCATTGTGGCCAAACAGTTGGATTTTGGTTTCATGTGACCAGAGCACCTTCTTCCACATGTTTGGTGTCTCCCAGGTGCTTGTGACAAACTTTAAACAACACTTTTTATGGATATCTTTACGACTGATTGTTGTCCTATGGACAGACTCTCCCACCTCAGCTGTAGATCTCTGCAGTTCATCCAGAGTGATCATGGACCTCTTGGCTGCATCTCTGATCAGTCTTCTCCTTGTTCCAGATGAAAGTTTAGAGGGACGGCCGGGTCTTGGTAGATTTGCAGTGGTCTGATACTCCTTCCATTTCAATATGATTGCTTGCACAGTGCTCCTTGGGATGTTTAAAGCTTGGGAAGTCTTTTTGTATCCAAATCCGGCTTTAAACTTCTCCACAACAGTACCTCGGACCTGCCTGGTGTGTTCCTTGGTCTTCATGATGCTCTCTGCACTTTGAACAGAACCCTGAGACACGCTGCTGCCTCACTTCACTGTTGAGGATCCTTTAGATGTTAAAATAATGAGAAACCAAAGTCGCTGATGGTCACACCATGTATCTACAGTGTTTAGTGTTAAAACAACCTGCACCTCCAGATCTGAAGAGAACATGTTGAGTTAGAACGGAGCTGAAGTCTGTGGGAGCTCGGCGGTGTCTGCAGTCGGAGAGGATTTGAGGTAAAACAGCAGCGATGACGCTGGGCCACAGAAGACAGAGATCCCCTAAAGCTCACATGTAATTTGCTTACGAAGCAGAAAAAGTTGTGGGAGTGAGAAGAATTTGTTTATAACAGGTATGAACCATTCAGAGTAAAGTGTAACATCACCTTCGACATGTTAAAATTCAACATGTGCTCGTGTCCAAACTGGGAAATATCAAAGTGTCAGTTCAGACACGGAAAGTCCAACTTTGAGTCATTTAAACCTTGAATGGTGTTTCCTGTGAAGTCTGACGGAGCTGCGTTTCTCATCTGCAAACCACAAATATTTCTGCTCCTAACCAAAGGAACTGGCTCCATTGTGGCTGTAAGAGGGAAACGAACCTTTTTTGTTTGTATTTGTTGTTGCCGACGAACAAAAACAAGATGAGTGAAACATCAGTGAGTAAACACTCTGCCAAGTTTTACTGATGACGTAATTACATTCCTACGACTCACCTCTGGTTTACTGACGTCTGTTGCTTTTACCAAAGAAGGAGAACTTTTCAAATGATCAGCTGGTTAAAATAATATGGTTAATGTTTAGATTTTAGTGGCTGGGCCTAACCGGCTAGTTTACATGAGGAGGGAACCAAGATGATTTCTACAGAAATCAAGTTAACGGAAGAAACAAGTGTAAGTAAAATATTGTAAATAAACGTTTAATGATTACTTTCTGACAGCTTCAATAACATCTACGTCTCAGGCAGAAGAGTTCAAGTATGTCTTGTTCACAAGTGACGATGGACGGAGCAGAGAAAAGATGTATCTGCAGTAATGAGGGTGTTGCTCCAGTCCGATGAGGTGTAGAAGGAGCTGAATCAAAAGGCAAAGCTCTCGGTTCACTGGTGTCATGATCGAAAGAACAAGATCCCAGATATGAGCTGGAAGAACTTCCTGGTGGGATCATGTATCCTCTCTGGGCTGGGAATGCCTCGAGGCCCCCCAGAAGGACCTGAGGGTGCCGCTGGGAATATGGAGGTCTGGGTGTCCCCCCTGGACACGTTTTCTCTGCAGCCCAGCTACTAATAATCAGCAGAAAATGGATGAATGGACGTTATGTTGTCATAAAACACAGCAATCAGTTTCTGCTAACTTCACACCCTCCTGCTGTCCTTGGGTCACGACCTGCAGCTGTGTCAGTTTGACCCAAGGACAGCAGGAGGGTTCAGCTCTGACCCTGTGGGACTGAAACACTCCATCTGTGTTTCAGAGCAGCAGCTTGGGTGAAGCAGCCGCTCCGCTCCACCTTCAGCTGATCTCTGCTGCTGGCGTGTGGTCTGAAGGTGTTACTGCTGCGCCGAGAAGGAACTAAAACATCTTCACCACTTCCTTCTTTGTATTAAAAAGATCTGCTTGAAGGTTTAAACTGGCCGAAATCACAGAAAACATACATTTAGAATAAGACATCTCCAGATGTTTGTTTATTAAACACTGAATTGTTTTGTTTTCAACTGTCCTGTACACAACTAAAGAATTTGAATTTCCTGTGAAAATGCAGTGAATGCTTATTGCAGAAGACCTTGTTGAGAAACAGCTGAAATTAGCTACAAAAAAAAAACATGCTGAAATGGAAGAACAAGCCAAAATTAACAGAAGAAAGCAAAAAGAACACATGTTCGCTAAAATTGGTTTAAATAAACAGAAATTAACACAAAAATTAGGAAATTAGCTAAAAAAAGAAGCTAAAATTAGCACAAAAACATCTTAAAAGTAGCCAAAAAGGCTGAAAGAAGCTTAACCTAGTTGAAGGAAATGGAAAGTGCTGAAATGAGCTAAAAAAAAAAAAAGTGGAATTAGCTGACAAAGCTA